GATCAACTTGAATGCATGCTGCTTGCAGAGCACTGCAGATTTTTACTCATTCCCCTGTATATTTTAAAGCACAAATGAGAGAGTCAATCATCATCATCACATTGAATGGAGTAGCCTTTCCAACTGAAAAAAGAGCTTATGAGCTGCTGTTAATGCTCAACATAGATTTCTTTTCAACATGCAGCTAACAAGAGTTTGGAAGGAGAATGAATAAAGGTGAAGTATGATCTCGTTATAAAAAAAAAAATTGAAAATTTACCCTAATGCATAATTCTGTTATTCTATCTCTGAAGGAAAAGAAACCCACAGTTACTATGGAAAGTTGAGACAGAAAACAAACTGTTGTTGGACTAATGGATACAGACTATAGCAGGTCAAGACTTCTCCAAAATCTTACATAAAACTAATTCAGATAATGAAGCAGCAGCATTTCCTCACAAAGTACATACTCAGCATCTGGTGGCATCATTTAGGTCAATACCAACCACTACCACAAAAGGGCTTTGGCTAACCAAAGGTACCACAGGTAAAGAAACAGCTGTAGGACAGACCACCTGCATCCTGAGGTTCTTTTTTCCCCAGAAACAGACAGTAAACAGCCCTAGACCAAGGCTTCAAAATACTATGCCTGAAAAGCACTTGGGAAAAAACAAAACAAAACAAAAAACCACCTCCTTTTGTAGATTTTTCTCAATAGAACATGGAAAACAGCCTGAGGGCCCACCCGTGCTTTGTGTATGGCAGCAGTTGTGTATGATGTTACCTGCTGATAGGCACACCTAAATTAACTGTTGCCATGATTTATTCAGCCCTTCTATGTCTGAAATTGTTAAAGAACTACCAGGTGCCCCCTCTCCTCTTGGTGTTCGTGGAACACAGATAACAAGAACAGAGTTGAAGCATACAACCTTTCAACACACCAAGGTATCCCTTAAACATCACCGGCTTGAGACTGGGTCATGGGCCACAGACATGAAATGGGAAGGAGCAGGTGAAGAGTTGCTCCAGGCAGAGCCCAGCAGCGCTGCTCGTACAGCGCAGCCCAAGCTCACGAAGGGCTAAAACGTGGCATTTCGGGCCGAGGGGTTTGACGTGGCTTCAGCAGTAGCTGACTTTGGAATGTTCTTAGCATGCTTTCAGATAATGTTAACTTTAAATAAACTTGCTGAATACTCGTGTAAATTATTTCCATTTGGCTGTCTCATTATTCAATATGCTTTCAAGGAACATGGTGATGAAAGAAGAAAAATACCTTTCTAACATAACCATACTGGCAAGAGGATCGACATTATCAGTATTCAAAGAATGTCTTGGCAGGATAAACCTTCATAAAAAGAAGGAGCACTAGCTAATCCAAGTTGTCAAAATAGCAATAGTACTTCAAGGGTTGATCTGCAAAGTGATTCATTACTTATTGCTAATGCAAACAAAACATTCTGAGCAGAAACGGGAATTGACTATTCCCTATCAGAAATTCACTGACAGAGTACACCAATGAATAAACCCTAGGAGGACTGACAAAAGGATATCTGTTTTTCTTACGTACTAGAAAACTACCCTAAGGCAGTAAGAGCATCACTCTCAACAGAAAACAAATGGGACGATTAATGGCAATATTTTCATCTGTACTGACACAGACACACTATGTGGCACAACCACAAGAAATCAAAAACAGAAATGCCATTCAGAAGCATAAGGCACACGCTATTAAAAAAAAAACACACACACACACACAAACCAGTCTAGTGGAAATACAGCATGCAGTCAATGTATTGGGGATACTAAAAATGCATATGCATCTCAAGAATACACACGACTTCCCAAAATAGATTTAATCCAGAATCTGTTACACAACCATTTTCAGGAGCCTAACTTCAGATACATTAATGAAAGTTTCTTCCTCATCACACAATATATTCTTCCTCAGTATGGAAGAGAGCTATGCTTTCTTCCATTCTCATTCCTTATAAAATACAGGACTTTAAGAAGGATTATCTTCAAAGGTACTGGCTTACTGCCTTTGAGCCTTATTTTCAAGAGCTTTCTGAAATGCACTGTACTGTACTACCCTTTCTACATCTTCAAACCATCTTTCCTCGTCTCCTCTGCAGTACCTAATATCTCTGCTACCTCTTTGCTCTTTTAAGTCTTGGAACCTGATCTTACTCCTGACGTCTATCATCTTCTAATGCAGCAGAAAGTATTGGCTCAGCCTCAGGAATCTGAGATTCTAGGAACTCGTCTGAATAACTGGACATACACATTTTTTAAAACTAATATGTAATCCATGTGCTCCATGACAAACAAAGCTATTTGAAAAAAGCAATTCATTTTCCTAGCACACATCAAACAGAAATACAACAGGCACTGCAAAAAATAATAATATTTAAAAAATCACAGATAACCCCCATTCAGTAGTGCATCCTAGCATACATACCCTATAGGATTGTTAAGGGAAAACCATCTTCCAATTTGACTTAATAATGCTAATGACAAAAGCACTTATCATCTGAAGGAAAATGAATTAAAATTCACATGCTATGAAATAATGGCAAAACAAATGCATGTCAACCTGTTGAAAGTTATGCACTTAAATTACAGCATTTCAAATTTCTGAAAAGGTATGGTGCAATAGGCAGGTTTTATTTTGCAAGAAATGACAAGAGCAGTAGGAATATGAGAACATGTATTCAAAGGTTGGGTTTTTTTTCCTGTTTTTGTTTGGTTTTTATACTGTTCAGATTATTTTACAGCAGTTACACGTGTGCAGACAAACAACATTTCCTATATGATGTCTTGGGCCTTTGATTCTCCCAGCTCAACAACAGCTACTGAGCGACCTCTTGTGTTTAAACCTATCTGAGCAGTTTCTTTTTTATTTTTTCTTTGTGAATAAGTTAAACGCACATAAGGGCAGCAGTGCAAAATCTCTGTCATTTCAATGAACATATGCTGCCTGCAGATAACATACCTACTGATTCATTCTACCAAACTTAGCATTGAAGAATTTACCTCTGAAGCAAAGAGGATGGGCAGATTTCGTGTATTCCCAGCAAACAGAGAGATTGATTTGTAATATGGAGGTGCCACTTCCTAAGCTGGGCTGCTGAGACTGCCACCTGAAAAGAGCCTCAGTTAGCTGCTATATGAGTTCGGTTTTCAGCGTCCAAGTATGCAGTGACAGCTGAAACAGTCCTCTGGTCTCTTCCACTTTACACCAGAAAACCACGCAATAACCTCTATTTGTAAGAATACTGATCTACAGAAGCATCACATACGTCAATAGATAATACCCATTTGTGGTATTTTCTTGGGTTTTGTTTACATGATCACAACCACAGGCTCTCACAGTGTACATTCTCATCACCGTTTTTCCCTCCTAAACATTCTCATTTTCAGCTTGCTGTTTTCCTCTACTTCAAAGTACAATTTCACTGTTAAAAATACTTTCAACTTTCAGAATCTGAACAAAATGTTTGTATGTGTACAGAGATAATCTGATGATAAAACATCGCTATAATGCATTTCACAACCATCACCTTCAACATAACCAAGACAGTCTGAGGACACTGGCTGCACTCTTTCTTTGTCAGCAGCAACAAGATAGATTTGTAGAACAGAGGCACTAACATCTCTGTGTGCATCAACAGGAATTTCCAAACAGCTGGGAACACACAAAATCTGTATCAACCATGCAATAGATGTCTAGTTCAAAAAGGTCAACAACCACAATGTGAACAACCACATTCTACAATAAAAAAGATGTTTCCCCAACACAGAATGTCAAACTTCAGGTGCGTGATAGAAGATAAACTACAGTCACACAGGGAAAAAAGAGGTTCATAAAGGTACAGTTGATGTACTGTACTAAGACCTTGCAGCAATCAACAATAGTAAATAAGAGCCCCAGCTTAACCACAGAAAAATTTCACCACACCCATCAAAGAGGGAAAAGCCACACCACCAATTAAATCCAAAATTAGTTTTATTAACCAGTGCTTAACATCAATTCTGTGAAGCACTGCTAGATATGTCAGAGTGCTTAATGCAACCTAAGAAGTGCAAAACCCTGCAGTCTGTGGTTTCAAACTTTCTGTAGTCTCAGTGAAATAAGACTGAAAGTAGTCACTCAGCTTGGGAATACAAATTCAGTAGCTACAAAGCTGGCTTTTTTGGTTTTGCTTTTTTTCTTCACTAAGCTACACTTAGAGATATGTGGAAATACATACATGTATATATGCCATCAGAGCATGTTAAGCAGCTCCAGAAACAGGCGGACAACCTATTGTCTTTTCAAGAAAGCACAATGGTACTCATCATTTCCACTGAGAGGGAACTCAACTGTGAATGTTTGGTAGTAAAGAGAAACTGCTTAAAACAGATTAATAAATGTGGAAAGTAAGAGGGTCAAGAACAAAAGTAGTCTAGAACAGGGAAAGAATTGCTGAGGGGTCTGGCCAGGAGATGTCACTCTCTACTTTATAGCAACATGAGAATTCTTTAGCCTAACTTTCCTCCCATGTCTCAAAAGCAGGAGCACAGACAAAAAAATAAGCTACGTGCAATTAGGGCCAGGTAAAGGAGAATCACCCAACATGTCACTTCCGTAGCTGTATGTTTCAATGACTGTTCAGTCGTCCATGAAGCCAAAACAGTCCCCAGAAAGCCTCCAAATTTGATCCGCCTCCTCAATAGCAAACAACTGGCTCAATTAGCTTAAACTACTAGCATAGGAGACAACATTTATACTTCATACATCTATCCACAGTACCTGCTGGAGCAGACCAAAAGGCAGATTTGAGCCTGAGTCTTAGAAATTTTTAAGATAAAAATCTGTAACCATCCTAAAACATACATATACAGAATGAAGTGAAAGTCCAACACTAATCTATGATGAAAGATAATTCCTAGGGATTAAGTATTTTACGTATTATATTAATTGAACAAATTCATCAGAAAAAGACACTTAGCACAGCTGACAGAGAAATAATGATTATTACCTTATTATGTACAAAGGTTATTCTCAGTTCTGGCTTTATGATGCCGTATGCTATCAGGAGGTCCTGGACTTTTTTCAGTTCTTCCTTACATTTTTTATTCGTTGAGTAAAACTGTTTTCTCACAGGAAGATTCTTAAACAACTTGAGGACTGTTACTGTTGTACCTACAGCAGGTGACGAAAAAACAAGCAGACATTATACTGAAAGCATATCACCATCTGGATAGAGAGGAAACTTTGTGTATCCTTGAAGAGCTCTGTCTGTATACCACTGCATGCAAATAAACCCTAACTACACCAAATTAGATTACTAGATAAAATTAACTTAATGAAAAGAAATATCAGTTTGCAGTCACCTCATGAAAATAAGTACCAACATAAGCTTGGATTCCCCTCCTTTGTCTGGAGTTATGATTGCAGCTTTAAGCATTCATTTGTACACACTAAGAGTATTTAGAATCGGCCATTAATTAAAGCCAAAGACTCTTTGAGTGCACATTAAATTAACCACTTTATCAATGAAATTTAACAAACTTAGAAACCAATTAGGCACATCTGGAGGCAAAGGAATGTTGAGCTCCATTAAGGCCTTTTGCTGTCATTCCCATTAGGGTATACCTGAAAGGCATATATGTGGTGAGAAGAGGGGTATTAATCTACCATTATAATCATGCAAATTCTTATCCTACAAAGATATTGCAAAGTACTAAAGAGATGGCATGGCATTCATTTTTCAATACCAAATATTAAACAATCTTGACAAAACACAAACCCATGCAATTCACAGGCTCCATAAGGGGCTCTCTGGCTGTGGAAAATGCTACAGCCTGAATCTTAAAAAGATTCTTTCGTTAAAATTAACTGTCTATACTGTAGAGTTTTCAGATTCAGCTCCTTCTATAAGAGTTGCCCATTAACTAGCCCTAGGCAGCTTTTTCTGAGTCAAGGGCTCCCTGCTGCCAGTCAGCCAACCAAGTAAGAGCCAGGTCTAGCAGGGAGGCTTTGCTCAGGTTGTACAAGGCACTGCACCATCACAGGGCAGAATACTGACAAGGAGCTTCTGAGGCTCAACCAGAATGTGCTAAGGATGATAACAGATGTATTGTTAGAGGAAAGCAGCAACTGCTTTCTCATAAGTCTACCTTAATCATAAGAAAGGAGCAATCACCTCTTCTGGGGCAACAAATAGCTGAACAGAGTACAAAGAAAGACCAATGCTATCCCAAACCCACACCATGTCTGAATACTAAGGCCACTTGTGAGGTGAGAGCAACCTCAATACTTCACACACCCAAATTTCTGGAGACACGACTTTACTAGGTTGGTCCAACAGCCATGCTGCTTCCAGGTGCTCCCTCACATAGGAGTAGGGCAACTCTTTCTCTCTCCAGAATTTTTACAGGTTTTTTATTTCCACTCTGTTGGCTTGAAGAAGAGAGTCAGATAAGGCAGAACTAGTTTAAAATTACTATCTAAGGCAACTTCTGAGATGTTATTTCTTATGCTAACAACACATTCTTGGCTGACAGACATAAGGCAAGAGATGTTTACAGCTGCCAAGATCTCATACACAGCCTCTAAACACAGAACAGATATTTTGACATCAAACAGAGCTCCAAAGAAACAAAATCCTTGTCACAACAGAACAGTAGAACATCATATCCTACCTTGGCCAAGATGGGAAGGCTTTTGGGAAGTTACATGCCCATTACTATCCAAAACATACTGAGTGCTGATATCATCATCAGCTGTCTTTGTTGTGACCAAAACCTGTGAACAATAATAATAAAATCATGTTAATCAAGGATTCAAAATGATCAGAATGAGCTTAAATAAGCTTTGCTATCACTCTTAACAGTGTATTATTTCAGTCACCACAATTACATGTAATTCGTTTATAAAATTCTTCGCCTTCAGGTGTTTCTTAGTCACAGAAAACATTCTGCATTATCACTCATTTTCCCACCCATTTAGTCAAAAGCTACACATTTCCATTACAATGCTACACAGCATAAACTGTTCCTAATACCTACAACGCATACTTCTTTGTCTTCTACTCTAAACACAAACAAACAACTAAGTCAACTGATAATTTTGCATTTTCAACCTTCAAGAGACAACATACTGTGAGAGCTTCTTAAATTCAGGTGAGATTACACAAACGTAATTACTATCAAAGAGTGTATTAATCTTCCACACCCAGTGTATCTGGCAATCGTGAAACCCTATGTTTTGTAAACTGCTAAGGTAAGACATACATCATCTTTAGTAAGACCAGTTACACTCCAGTAGTTCAGTAAAGTTGCAGCTCTGTGAGTTCAGCTACCAATACTTTGAACAAAGAGCCAGTATGCTTTAAGCACCCGGGAAACATAAAGGTTATTACTCATAGAAAGCTTCAGGATGTTTTGGTTTATTTTAGTTTCCTCATATGAATCATTCTGAATTCAGCCATGCCTCTGGAGAGAAAAACAGTAATTGATTAATTGGAAACAACAATATTACAGGTCTAGTTATGGGCTGGTAGTAACGTACCTCTTAACTGAAACTTCAGGGGGCAGTTTGGGTAGGCAGAATGCAATTAATGCCAGGAGCATTTCATTACCATAATTACTGATCCCCACATTAACGTAATACCTACTATAGTACTCAATAGACCAGTCAGACCAACTCCTGTATCTTATGAAACGCAACACAGACTGATTAACTGCTCAGTACAGATGGCATCCTGCCCTGACAACTCATGAGGACCACTGAAATCTATCATCATCTGCCAGCACACCGCCACTTCTGAAAGCACACAACCCACTCCCGCTTAGTGCAACGTGAATGTAGCCCAAGGTAGCAATGAGTCTGACTCTCTCACCCTCTGACACTTCTCCTGACCTCGAGAGCTGACAGTTCCCATCAGACACTGATCTCAGTATCTTCCTGCAGTATCTAATCCTTGGGAAACAGAAAAAAAATTCCAAACTTGACCCTGTCTCAGTGCAAAGACAGAAAGGCAGCGAACCATGGAACAGGTAGATGCTGTGTGCTTCACAGTATGAACATCTCTCAGATGGTTTTGAACCAACTTCCTTTTAGTCTACAAATTAAATCTTAAATATCAGTACACTGTCAATGTCAGCACTGTTAACACAAAAATATGGATCAGACTCAGGTAGGCCAGGGAGCAGGTTCCTGTTTACTCATAAAGACAACCGTTTGTGCAACTGCAGTCATGTGCATGTCAAGGAACAATATGGACTGCAACAAGATCCCATGACTGTTGATCACTTAGATAACATCAAGGCAGAAATCCTTACTAGAACTGCAGCTATGTGGGCCATCAGCGTCCTGAAGCAATATCTTCCGGCCACCATCTGCTGCTTCTTATTTTGAGTTAGCTCAGTTCAAGTAGTAAACTCAGCCAAGCTTTTAGATATCATAACAGTAAGGGGGGCAAAGCATTATTCCAAGGAATCACATATCTATACCCTGATATGACAGAAAAGGACAAGGAAACACTAAGCAAACAGTCTCTGATGGATTCTTGCTGAGGAAAACAAATGCAGCACTGGTATAACCAGTATGACAGTATGCAGGACACTAACAAATCTATATTGCTTCCTAACCCTTATGATAGGGGTGGGGAAAGGCAGCACATACAAACCAGACTGTTCCAAAAACAAGTTCCCAGCGGCTGCCAGAACAGTTTAAAGACTTTGCAGTGATACTTTATTAAAACTTTCACATATGCACGCAAATCACAACACAGCAGTCCAGCCACTCACCTCTGATACGCAACAAATTGATCCCAGGGCTTCCCCACGGAAACCATATGTTGTCAACCTTTCAAGATCCTCAGAAGAGTTTATTTTTGAGGTGTAGTGTTTAATTGCCATAACAGGAACATCAGCAACCTTGATTCCATTACCATTGTCTCTTACTTCTATTTTGTCAAACCCATAATTCTCCTAAATATAAAAAAAACAACAGCAATGGATTGCTAAAGTGGAGTAATGTATTAAGGCACAAACAAAGCAAACGCAAGCACTGCTTCTCTTTCAGTATTTCAGTATAAGTGAGTACTTGTCATTTCAATAAACATCTGCATAAGCAGATAAAACTCCAACAACCCAGGTAATTAGGAGAGCAGATAAATGAAAGAACTTCAGATTCTCTAACATCTCAAACTCAGACACAGCAAACAAATGCTTCGTTCCAGCCACACTACAATCCGCACATATAAATGACATCCAAAAAAGAAAAAAAATCACAAGCAGGAGGAGAAAGTGAGTAGAACTGCAGGATCACTAAGTAAACTTCTTTCCCAGAAGCCATGTGTGGCTCTTTGAAAAGATTACGATCTATTGTCCAGAAAAGTGTGCTGTAGCATGTGGTACGTTGTGGCAATCATACAACTGGTTTGCTTTCAACAAATGTCTCGACTGAGCAGTTCCCCTGTTTCCATAGCCCACTGATGCTGTGCAGAGCACACGACGGGCGATCTCAAAGGATGACTGTTTAGACAAACTCACCACGTTGCTCCACCTGGACACAGCCTGGAGGCAGTTAAGGAAAACGTAACGTACTTACAGGTCACTTCTCAAAGAAAAATGAATGCAATGCAAAACAAACTAAAGACAATACGTGTATTCACATACAATCCGTGCTATGAAACATCAAAAGCTTCTGAAGTAGGCTGAGAACTATAATATTTAGTTGATATGCACTACAAATGTGGATATGTTTTCCTTTCCATATTAATCAATGGTGCTATGTTCAGGTTATGTTCAGATTGAAAAACAATGTTTTTGCTAATATTTAAATCAACCACCTGCTGGAGAACAACATGGAAGCTCTGATATACCCAAACTGGGCAAAAAATCACGTCAAGACATAGAAAATCTCCCACTCTGCTGTAGTATGCTACAATGCACGGTTTCTGCATTTTACTACTGTGTTCCATTTCAATCTTTACAACCATGCCATTTATCTGCTTTGGAAAAAAGACTGAGCAGATTTATCTTCTTCAACTTGAATCAAAATGTTACTGAACAAATTTCCACTTCAATCCTAATATTATTCACTTTTATTCAGGCACATTTACTTAAAATATTATAGCATTAAAACTTGGTATTCTGTAACACCACTCTCTCATGCTAAATGGCCTAAATGCCACATGATGCTATAAGATCTTTAAATTACTCTAACAGATCACTGCTGCCAAGACATGCAACTCCCTCCTCTTTTAATCACAGCTTCATGGTCCCATCTCTGCTACCCATTAGAACTCACGGAATCACACAATCATAGAATCATTTGAGTTGGAAGGGTCCTTTAAAGGTCATCTGGTCCAACTCGCCTGCAATGAACAGGGACATTTACACTAGATTGGCTTGCTCAGAGCCTGGTTCAGTCTGGCCTTGAATGCCTTCAGGGACGGGGCATCCACCACCTCTCTGTGCAGCCTGTTTCAGTGCTTCACATTAACTTTCTGCAAATCAATTAAGATCAATTCAGCTTGTTAAAATGGCACAAACAATCCACTTTTCTCATTGGCCTTCAGCATTAGCAAATTGAACAGATCATGAAAGGCAGAAAGGCCTAGCAATGCCAAGCATGTTGTTTTAGGTCTTTACTTTTCAGGCAAACAGATGGATCAGCTGTTCAGTGAAACTTCTCATCCTGAGCTAAACTTCCTCTAAGAGGGATGTAAGAATTAAAGCTTCCACTTTCTGCACTGGAAAAGAGAAGCAAAAACAACTGTCTGCCTTTTACAACAGCCACTTCATGTAACGTTAACAAACCTGTAGCTGAGATCCCTACTTCCTGAATCCTAATTCTGCTCTAAATAATAACAAAGGCTGTTGCTCATTTACTCTATTAAACTAGAACACGCAGGTGTAAATCAGACTTTAAAGATTATTCTCATAAATTCCTTTGTCAGAGCTCAGTCAGGTAAATTGATAAGACTGGTGCCTGTGTAGTCTCTTTACTCCTAGTAAAGAGGAGCAGGTTCCAGCATACTTTAACCCAAACCCAGGACATCTCATCAAGAATAAAACCATGACTCCATATGCTTACTGCACAGTCATGCTACTGGGGTAGCTGACCCTGCTGCTAACAAAGCAGGTTCCAGCATGTTTGTCTTTCTAATAGCAACACAGTGGAGGTTCAAATTAACAAATAGATATCACGTAATGTCCTGGCCACAGTTCAATTTTTAATCAAATGACTGGGTTTATATTGTAATGGAAGCAATATCGCATTATCTAAAGCTATACTACAAGCTCACATGTTTCCCTGTCTTGTGTAAAAGCTGGCTGACACATCAGGCAAAGACACTAAATAACATCACCCATTGGAGTTTGGTTGATCAAGTTAGCAAGGATACAGACCTGTCCAAGACTTCAAGCTATTCCTTGCCACTACAATGGCTTCTGAGAAATACCTCACCTGCATGTCAACTCCTCAACGTATGCCCGTCCACTGACTTATCAGGGAACTGATTTTGGACTATTTTTGTTTCAGGTTAAAATAGATACTTATAAAGAACACTAAGTTCTCTCACACCACAGCAATGATAACCTGAAAAATACATTGGCAGAGAAACAACTTTCCCAGCCCCTTCTTTCATACATGAGTGTACAAGAAGGAGAGGGGCCTTACCAGTCTAATGTCAATAGCTGTGGCACAGGCATCCAAGGAGTTTTCTATCAGCTCCTTCACCACACTGACAACTGATGTAATCACTTGAGAACTCGAAAGCAGACGAACGGTTTCTGCTGACAGCTGCTTCATGGTGGAACTAGAGAAGCTGCATAGAAAGATACAAGAAATAGAATGGAAAAGACACATTAGAAATACACATTTCTAAATATGTGAAACATAACATTAAGGCTAAAGGGTAATGTTGTAAAGACTCATTTGGACAGTGCTTTCTCTGCAGTCAGTGGCAGTTTGACTTGTGGAAGGAACAATATACCAGAGTCCAGAATAGAAAATACTTTCTGAAGCAGACTAAACTTCTATCCCCAAAAAAGTTCAAAAATTCAGAGATATATTGAGCAAAACAGTATATTACCCCACGTTTACCAAGCCATTCCTCTAAACTACTGTAACAAGTGGTTATGCTCTTGTGATTATAACAGAAAAGACAGATTGCGTGGTAACCCACAGTACTAATCAGAAACATCTTCAGGCAGCATATCTATCTGCACCATGTCTAATTCTAGCACTGATGACAAAATCCAAGGATTTTGAATCTTCACTATTTTTTCTCCAAACTCCTGGTTTTATTTTTTCCCTGCTTTTGAAATTTCTGAGCTCAGCTCTGCTGTGTTCTGCATACAGTTCCCAGCAGCCAAAAATTCAAGAAATATGACCTCTTTCTGCTTTGGGGCTGGGGAAGAAGGTGGGGACAGCATAGTGAGAAAAAGGCACATTAACTGGCATTGTGACCTCTTGGCAATGAGGAAAAAAAGCCAAATCTTCTGCACTCTTACCTTACCTTTCTTACCAGATTTACTGCATGCCCTCAGGCGGGTCACTTTATTCCTGTGTATTCCACATGGAAATAAAGATGCCCCATAGTATAATAAGACAATAGAGATGCTCTTCTCAATGGAAACACTTACAAAGGGCTACAAAACTCCAGCTGTGTTATACATGGTAACACTGCCATGAAGATGGTAAGTGGATCTGCAAATTTTTGCAGGTATTAAATGTTAAGTATGTACATAGGCCTAATTAACCAATATCCAACTGAAGTCTTTGCTGATCCTTGTAGTATGACACAAAAAACTCAACCATATTTTTTCACACATATGAGAAAGGTGGCAGAAAGAGCATGACCAGCTCTTTGCATCTCAAGAATGGTTTGAGCACTATAGCACCCTGACCTTCAAGGAACACCTCACTTTTGTACCCTAATGTGAGACATGGAAGGCCACTATTTGTACTGAAAGGCAAACAAAGCCCACAACACTGGGCTCCTATTGCATCCGTTCAAGCAACCTGGTGGAGGATAGCCTGACTGGTCCTGACTGCACAACCAGCATCCAGCCTGAGGCTATGAGCACATGGGGAGGAATGGAGCAGACCCAGCCAGGATAGCAGGAAGGTGTGCAGGCAGGGCACTGCAGCCAGCCCCCAAAGCAGGACTATCTTGCAGGGTCTGTGCCACTGGCACAACAAGCACACAGCACTTCTCTGCCTTGAGAGCCTTCTCAGAAGAACTACTCAACAGAAAGGGCCAAGCAAATACACGGCTACTTGGGCAAAACAAATTCAACCTACAGTGTTTGAATAGGAAGCAGAATGAGCACTTTTCTGAGAACAGCTGCAGAATTTTTCTTTTTATACATAGTAGTTACATTCCAAAGAGAATTTGCCCTTCAGATGTGGCAAAACGATCTGACAAATCAGTTTTCCACCAAACAGTCAAAGAGAAGGAACACAGGGTGAGGCGTGTTGCTAAATATGGGCCAGCATTAATCATTCGCACAACTTCTGCACACATCCACACGTCACACAGGACTCCTGCACAAAGTGTTTGCTGATTTATTGCCAAGTTCCAACCTGGAGCCGGGTATCTCCGTGAAAAGATGCTGACAAAGGGCAGGGAGGAGCTGAAAACAACAACGCCGCAGATCACAGAGACAAACGTTCTATGAGCTGTTCGTGATGCAGGAATTAGAGAGAGGAAGCAGCTCTGAGTCCGTTCCCCGGTCCCAAACCTCACCGTCAGCGTGCGTGAGCAGCACACGGCCACGCCTGCTGCCTCTTGGGTACCACTTCTGGCGCCCGCTGCGTCGGAAGCAGGCAAATAAACAGAGAAGCATGCGTGCACGGAGCTCACAGCACCTGCAGCAAGCGAGGATGAGGGCAAGGCGGGGTGACGGATCTCTAGGTTTGTCCGGCAGCGAGCCGCGTTCCAACGGCCGCTTTCCTTAACGGCTCCCTGCGCTCACGTTCGGCCGCCCGTGTCAGAAAAGAGGCGAATCCCCGCCCGCACCCCCACGCCGCGCCCTGCCCCACACGGCGGCCCTTCCCGCCCGCACGGCGCCCCGCCCCACGGCTGCAGGCCCGGGCCTAGGCCCAGCGGCGCGGGAGGCGGCAGCTGCCCGCGCTCCGAGGAGCGCCCTCTTCTTCTCTTTCTTCTCCTCCTTCTCCTCCTCCTCCTTCCCGCTCCCCGGCCGGCAGCCCGCCCGGCCCCGCCGCGCCCCTCCCGTCCCGCAGCCCCCCGTACCTGCGCGTCCCGCTGCCCCGTGGGCGGCGCGGCCCGGCCCGGCCCCTCCCCGCGCGGAGCCCTGCCCACGGGGCGGCCGCTCGGCCCCACCTGCGGCCGCGCTTCTCCTCGGCGCCGCTGGTCGGAGAGCGGGCGGCGGAGCTCCCGCAGCGCCGGAAAGGTGGGGCGGCGCCCGGGACGAGCGGGAGGGACGCGGGCCGTCGGCGGTGCGCGGCCGGTGGCGGCGGGAGGGAGCCGGGGCCGTTCTTCTGCGCTGGCGGGGCGGCGAGCCGAGGCCGTCCGTGTCGCGGTGCTGCCGTCCTGCGGGACCGGAGGTCGGGCTTTGCGGCTGTGAATGTCGGCGTCCCCCGAGTTACGGGGACGCGGAATGACGGAACGGTCGGGTCGGAAGGCAGCTCGTAGCCCGACCGGCCCCAGCTCCTGCCGCGCGCTGCCCGCCCGCAGCTGCTCAGCCCGCACGGCGCCCGCGCAGCCCCGCGTTGGCACCTCCGCAGGCTGGGCACCGCGGCTCTCCGGGCTGTTCGATCCGCTGTGTCCACAAGTTCCGCGGTGAGCGGATGACGGGCTGGGAGATGCTTTCTGGTCACGCGCTGTTCGGCACAGCCGTGTCGCCTCGCCGCCTTCTCACCCGTGTGCCGATTCCACGCACGGCACGTAGCAGCACACGCTTCTACCCTGCGGCTGTCGCCGGCAGCCCTGCGAGGCAGCTGTCCTGTGGCAGTCCTGGGTCGCAGGTGTGTTTGGCCGCAGAGATATGTCTGTATGGGGCCTTGAATGAGCACCGTCTGGTGGAAGTAGAGAAGCTAGTTCCAATTTCTTAAGCCAAAATACAGCTGGGTTTCTGGCAGTAGGAAAGAAAACGCAGGAATGCAGTAGATGAAGAACGTGTCCGGCTGATTAAATGAGAGATGCTGAGGATAAAATAGGTCCAATATATCAAAATACAGTACTATGAAATGCTTTGCAACAAAGGGTGATTATAATTGGCATTGCTGCAGTTCAATTTCAGGTTCCTCACATCTATTTTCATATTACCAACTACTGTTAATGCGTGTTTTACACACATAATACACACATCATAGTGCATTAATATGTGGTGTTACAGATATGATAATGCTCTGTAATACTGAACAAATACCAGAAACAAACTTACTTAACGACAACAACAAAAAAAAGCCAACTATTTCTGCCAGTTAATGTTCCTGTCAACTGATTCAGAAGGCAGTTAGCAGTTCTCTATCCCAGCCCCATAAACACTGAAATGACTATTTATGTTTCATGAAATGAAACAAACTTTTTTCTAGTACTTAATACTAATTGTAGTACACCAGGCTGATCTCCTAAAGAAAAGGGGATTAGAAATTGTGTTGTGTATGTTTGCGTACGTCTGTCAAGTAGAAGCCTTCTGAGCCTTTGGCTATTATCAGATAAAAACAGCAGGGTAAGAGTTCCAAAACCTGCAGGGGATGGAAATCTGAGATCTGATCTCATGCTACAGAAAAAGTAGGAATAAATTCTTCCTAGCAACAGGTTGCCAGGCAGGTAGTATAAGAATTCCCAAATAGCCGTAACGTGGGTGAAATGAGGGAAAACTGATGAGAATGGGAAAGAACAGTTGATATTAGTGGTGGAAGAAAGGAACTTAAGGGATAAAAGTTACAAAGATTGGTCTCCTTATTGGTTTACACCTTGCCCTTGTGACAGCACAGTTCACTAATCCCACATCACCCTGTTGTGGCAGACCTGGTGGTGTTTGTATTTGTTTGTTTGTGAACAAACAGTCCCAACAGCCCTTTTGTAGTGATTTCTTTATAATTCGTACTTCACTTGAAGCTCTTGAGGTACGCTTTAGTTTGTGTGCAGTGTTCATTCCAGACCTACTTATTTAGCAGCCTCTTTCCTAATTTGGAGCTGCATGTGTTAGATACCTCTATGATACAGTAGTCTCACTTGAGGAACAGTTCTGTTCTGTAGGGTAAAAATGAATGTCGGAGTGGCGCACAGCGAGGTGAATCCAAACACACGGGTGATGAGCAGCCGTGGAATGTGGCTGACGTACACGCTTGGAGTTGGCCTGCTTCACATCGTCCTGCTCAGCATTCCTTTCTTTAGTGTCCCTGTCGCGTGGACTTTAACAAATGTGATTCACAACCTGGTGAGTACCCTGTCTTGTTGAAAAAGTGGTTCAAACATACTTTTAAAAGCAGGTGAAAAGAGGAATAGCTGTGCTGTGTGGGTACTGAAACCAAAAATGCCTGTTTGTGGCTTAGCCACTGTTAAATGGGTTGGCTCATCTGGGGAGGAGGAGTGATAGAGGATCACCTTAGATTTAAGCATAAGGGCTTTGAGATATTTTGTATTTATTAATCCAGTAAATGTAATATATAAAAAAGAGTATTATCTATTAATTTTTCTATATAAATCTGTTTGTATCTGAAGATGTTTGATTTCAGTGCTTTGAATGATACTTTTCCTTGGATGGAAGCGTTTGTGTTCTTTTTCTTGCTTCAATTTCTAGTTAAACCAGACAAATTTTAGCTCTGAATGACTTCAGTGCAGAACTCTGTCACTATTCATGACATGGGGAAAAAAACCAAAACATTGTATTTGGGAAGATTCGATCACATTAACCCAAGCCCTGAAACCATTTCTTATTTAGTGGATTGTGATATGAATTATGACTTCAGCTTCCAGAGGCTTTTGCATACAGAAGACCCTGAAAATCTTTCTCTCTCTTCTCCCCAGGCTGCTATAATTCTGTTGTAATCATTCAAATAATAAGAATTAATTAATATTTCCCAAATGCCTTACTGAATTCATGTAGGTTGTTATAATGACAGCAGGGATGATAGCATGCACTGGCCAAGTAGTTCTCTAATGGAATGCAGAAGATGGATATAAACTGTACTTTGGGTATTGGAGCATTTAAATGGCAATTTTTGTTTAAAATTTTATATATATATATATTTATCTTGGAATGTGGAAAACTTCTAGCTGACATTAAGAGCAATTTAAATGGTTCTTTCTGCACGTATTAGTGCAAAATGAAATGTTGAGTAAGCATTTGGATGTCCTGAAAGTGTCTTTTTGGTTATTAAAATTGAGGTGCTGGAAAAAGCATGAATCAAATAATTAATTAAGCAAAATAATTCTCCAGTAGACGTCCAGACAAGAGGCTGTTTCAAAAAGCTTTCATCTCCTTCACAAGACTTCAGAAAAGTGAGATTTTTTTTTTTCTGGATAAAGTGTTCCATCTCTGTGCAGGAGAAGTGAATGTACCTGGAATAATGCTGAACTCTGATATTTTCTGGTAGAGACTCTTGGTTGGAGTTGGCAAATAAACGACAAATGATTGAAATGATTGTTAAAATTGGAAGCTTTGCTCATTTGTTGAAACTCGGCTCTCCTATCTGGAATTGACAGCTGCTACTTTATCTTTCAGAACAGGCTAGCCATAGCATCCTTCCAACAAAAAGTAACAAAGAAACTAACACGGTTAAGGAGATGGACAGATGATGTTCAACAGGTGGCTGGTATTCAACTTCCAAGCATCTGAAGCTAGTAGGAGGCTGAGGAAGCTTTCGGAAGTTCTTGTAATATTGCCAGTATTCACCAGGTGTAGATTTCTACTTTTTGCAAACTCTGCCTCATAACTCAATTTCATATTGTGTTAGGAAAGCAGCAACATAAATCAGCCCAGAACTTGCTACAGTGCTTGTGTAAATTCTGTTGACTTCATGGGATCTTTGCCATCTAATGTAGAAGATGAAGCATTGCATTGTGGCTCACATAGACTTATGCTTTCATGCCAAATGTGCCACTGACTGCGTAACTTCAAGCAAAGCACTTCTTGGCTCTTCTTTGCTCTTCTGTAATTTGTTATTTCAGGTTAGCAGCTCTTTTAGGTGAGAATTCATTTACTCTTTTTTCTTTGTTTTGTTTGTTTGTGTTTTGCAATGCATTGAACAACGTAGCAATTACGTAACAGCTAGAAGTACCAATGTATTCATTTATTTTCCTCCAGGGAATGTATGTCTTCTTGCATGCAGTAAAGGGGACTCCTTTTGAAACACCTGATCAGGGGAAAGCGAGGCTCCTGACACACTGGGAACAACTGGACTATGGAGTACAGTTTACATCTTCAAGAAAATTCTTCACCATCTCTCCTATAATTCTGTGAGTTCTAAACTATATTGTGAATGAAGTGAGTCATAAAACCATGGCTTCAAAAGCCTCCATTAAATGAGTTGCAATTTACTTTACTTTTCTTTTTTTTTTTTTTTTTGCTTGTATCTACATCAAAGATGTAAGGAGTACATATTTACAGGCCGCAGAGTCAACAATCTTCCTGCAGTTTTCAACGCTAATTCAAAGTACTGAAGTTGAAGTTTGTAAATAGTTATTAATAGAATGGGTTTTAAAGATTAGAAACCTTATGAGAAAACCTATCAACTCTTGAAGTTCTTTAGAAGATTGTGAAGTTGTAAATATTGAAAAGCTAAGCTAATTGTCTGCTAGTGCATGTCCATTACTTTGCAGTAGTTGCTAACCATTCCGTAACTTGTCATTTGTGAGGAATGCGGCAGTCCTCACCGAAGGGGATCCAGAGTATTACAGACTGCCTTCTGTTTACACTAGTTATGTAAATAGGCTGATTGGAAATTTTGCACCACCTGTTTCTGTTGACAAAAGTATGGTTGCATAACTGAAAGAAATCTGATACGTATTTAATATCCAGATCTAAAAAAATCATTTTGTTTTTCCTAAAAGGAAGTTGTCTGCTTGCTTGGCAGGGTCGAGGGGTGACAGGGAAGGTACAGTATTCTGCATAGAAAATTGTCTCACAACGAAAAGAAATGGGAATAAACATGTGTAACTGCTCAAAAAAAAAAAAAAAAAAAAATCCTCTTACTTCAAAGATAGTTTCCAGTAGGAATGCTGTACTTACAACACTTGTACGCAACTCTTCACACATGCCTAAGAAGCTGAATAAATGTTTCCTGTTTGCTGTAGGGAAAACAACACACTGCTGTGTCATTTCTGTAGAGTTGTTTTTTAGCACTTTGAGGAGTATGGGAAGAAGATACTTAGTCTATCATACCATTGTATAACATTGTAGAACCTAAGATGAGGTATTTAATACAAGAACACATCCATGGTTAATCGGTAAAATATCACTGTAGCATCTTTTTCCAGCCATGCTTTCTTGGTGTGTTTGTGGATAAGGGTGTCAGCAGTTAAGCTTGCTCCCTTTTCTCCTGCAGGTACTTCCTGGCGAGTTTCTACACAAAATATGATCCGACACACTTTATCTTCAACACCACCTCTCTTCTGACAGTGCTTATCCCCAAGCTGCCACAATTGCACGGTGTTCGAATCTTTGGCATCAATAAATACTAGACATAAGGTGTGATGCTGACTGATCCTGACACGGATTCTGCTTCTCGGGCAAAGGAAACGAATAATCTGCTGTTATCTAATTGTATTCAATGAGAGATGCTTTCACATCTGAGATACAATTACTACTTCCTTGCAGCACTATCTGGGGTGAAAGTTGAGTTTCTAAGATGCCTTCAAATACTGAAATGTGGGTAGGAAACTTCTAGATGGAAGATTTCCTGAACTTGAAGGCAGGCCCAGCTCTACGGTGTAATCAGTACCACAAGTAGATGTAGGTCTGGCTGAGGCAGGTAAGGGAGGTGTGAATAACTGCTGAAATGGTGAGTGATGTTTCAGCAGCGCCAGTCAGCCGTGATGCAGATGGTAACTTGCTGTATAAATCCAGCCTCCATTCAAAGGACTGGCAAAACTTTGTAGATAGGTGAAAGTAGCTGGTTCCTGCTCTGTGGATCATGAACGGGTGTGTTTGTTACTGCATTATACACGATTGTCTCAGTAAATGCCGTGACAGTTGGTAAAAAGGGATGGTATGATTCATGCCTTATCTGTCCTTGTAATTTTTGTCACAGAGACTGGAGAAAATCCATAACTGTCTGCTCAGGGATTGCTACATGCACTCAATAGCTTGGTTTAGGTATGCTTTTGCAAGCTGCCACTGCTGTGTTTATTTCAGTTTGCTAACAGAACATCGACTTTTCTATCTGTAATTGGGACACGCTGAGCCCTGCAACGCTGGGGGAGAGGGACGTGTAGGATAAGCAGCTTCACCATAGAACAAGCGAGAGGAATAAGAGAAATTCTGTGTGGATCATAGGTTAGAACAGAAGCGGTGCTAGCAGCAGGTGAAGAGACAGATTACCCGGCCTGACCGCATACAGTTTGCAGAAGAAGAGAGGAAGGACTTGCACGGAGGCACCGGCGTGTGACCCATGTGAGCTGCCCTGGCAGCAGACGGGAAGAGGTGCAGAGCTCCTGTGCCAGCCTGCCCCACGGCTGCCAGACACAGGCGGCTCGGAACTGGCAGAAGGCTCGCTTTGTTTTCTGCTTGCAGTGAGAGAAGGAAAAATGTTTGTTTTCCTGCCGGGATAATTTACCAACGTGTGATGAAGATGCTGTTCAAAAAGCGTGACTTTTCTTTTTTGAGTTATTGGAAGTAAATAACTCCTTCTCTGTGCAAGAAGCGTCACCTGGCTCCTTTTTACTGACGTCCCTCACACGGTCACCTCAGCGCTCGGGGGGCGGGGACACGGGTGGCGGGGGGGAGCCGCGCTGCCGCCCGGCACCAAGATGGCGCCCCCGCCACGGAACCGCGGCAGCGTCACTTCCGGGATCTGCCCCGCCCCGTGATGGCGGCCAGGGGCGGCGGGGAGGCTGGGGTTACGGCCGCCAAGTTGCCTGGGGCTGAGTCCGCCGACGTTGTAGCTGTTAGTGCGCCGTGCACAGTTTAAAATCAAGTTGTGGGCGGCGAAATAGCACGAGGAGCACTCGAAGGTAAAGCTCATCGCAGGCAGAATCGGGCTACGGAGGCAGCGACGCGAGCCTGCTCGGATCGCGGTGCGGAGCGTCCCCTTCCTCGGGGCGGCGGCAGGCGGCGCAGATCCCGAAGGCGTCGCCCTGGGGCACGACTCAGGTAAAGTGAAGGTACAGGCCCCCACCTCCTCCAACAACAACGGCAGTTTTTGTTAAGCTCGTAAAAACCGCGGGGTATTCCGTAGCTGTAATGGTAACGGCACCTTTCCACAGCAATCACAGAACCGCTCCGGTTGGAGAATACCTTACAGATCTTCGAGTCCAACCACGACCTAACCCTACCAGCCTAACAACCCTCTGCTCGACCATGTCCCTGAGCACCACATCCAAATGGTTTTTAAGTACATCCGGGGATGGTGACTCAACCTGGTGTATTTTATTTATAATCAGCGAATTTACTTCAGTTCTGTAATAGCACGTGCTTGGAAACCCTTCTGTAACGATAAATTGTACAGCTCCTTTCCAGACATCACCACGAGACCAACTGGCGCCAATGAGCAGCACGGCCACGCGCCTCCTGCAGCCTGCGAGGCACAGCACGGCTGCATGGCTGAGCAGCAGCTCCACGCGCTGTGCGAGGCCCCTGAGACTTGTGCTGGGCATCGAAACAAGCTGCGATGACACAGGCGCGGCGGTGCTGGACGAGGCGGGCAGGGTGCTGGGAGAAGCGCTGCAGAGCCAAAAGGAGGTGCACCTGAAGTAAGTGCATACAGCTCACAGCACCCTCTTATGCAGCTGTAGTTGTGGCTAAAGGTGCTCAGTAGTGATGCTACTGTTATCTGTGATATCATCTGTACGAAAGTGGCTCAGGAAAACTGATGTGAAGAGGGGATCGCAGAATCACAAAAGTCCTCTAAGATTATCATGTCCAACCATCAGCACATCCCCACTGTGCTCACTAGCCCTGTCCCTCAGTGCCACATCTACCCTTTCCATAAACACCTCCAGGGACAGTGACCCCGCCACCTCCCTGCACAGTCTGTGCCAATGCCTCACCACTCCTGAGAAGTAGTATTTCCTATTATCCACAATCTGAACCTCCCTTGGCCCAACTTAAAGCCATTACCTCTCATATGAAGACCCATCTTTCTTCATCCCCAGCTCCCTGTGCAAGGCTGTGGAAAGAAATGCTGTGCATTTATTATCATCTTCTTGTGCTAATTTCTTTCCACAAAAGTACACAAATTCTTCATTGAGTTTGATTAACATTACAGTAGTACTACTAAAATCACGAAATATTTTCAGTTAAGTGAAAATTAATCAGAAATAGACATTGGTTGATAAGTACATCAACTGGCAAGTGGAGGGCTGTGTTCAGTTTCAGCCATTGCTTTGGAATGGCATGGAGATAGATTTAAGAGAAGTAGCAGATTTAAGAGGAACACATGCCAAGCAGGGGAAAGTTGGATTCTTTCCTGATGTCCCAGTGATAATTACACTCCATTCAGTACACAGATACAGTTCGTGTCATTTACACTAAACAAGGCATTTGAAAACATCCTAAAAAAAATGGGCAGGGTGTGGCAAGTTTACAAGATGTTGAAAAAGCTATTGTTGTGATTGTGTTATGAAATGCAAATATCTTACAATTACTTGTTTCTAACTAGAGCAGGTGGAATAATTCCTCATGTAGCACAACAGCTTCACAGAGAAAACATCCAGCAAGTAGTAAAGGAAGCGCTTAGTACCAGTGGAGTTTCTGTAAATGAACTTGCTGCTATTGCAACTACAGTGAAACCAGGACTTGCGCTGAGCCTGGAGGTGGGACTGCAGTACAGCTTACAGCTGGTGGACAGGTACCAGAAGCCTTTCATACCCATTCATCACATGGAGGCTCACGCACTTACCATCAGACTGACAGAGCAAGTGGAATTTCCCTTCTTAGTTCTTTTACTCTCCGGAGGTCACTGCATCTTGGCAGTAGCACGAGGAATTTCAGACTTCCTTCTGCTTGGACAGACCATAGATATAGCACCAGGTGACATGCTGGATAAGGTAATATTTCAACGCACATGTGAATCTACTTGTTTTCCTTCCATTGCAGTTAAGCTATAATCATAGTATTAGCATTAGCCTGAGTACAGCAACATAACGTGATAGGAGCTTTACATTATGTTTTCTTTTGTCTGTTTTGAAATATCATAAATTTAATATGCAAGGGACGATTAGACACCTATGCACTTTAGTAGTACCAGTACTAAATAGCTTATTAATTGTATTTTTAGCAAATAGATAACATAACCAAGACTGGTTATGGAAGGTTTGATGAGAACCATTATACAAATGAGCTGTATTAACTTGATAAGATCAATAGTAGTATTTTGAAGGATACTGTCAGACCTAAACCAATACATATTAAAACATTTGTTACTAGTTCTTTTGTTGTTATTTGTTCTTTTAATAGTTTGAAAAGCTCAATTTGGCTTTGACAGTCTATATTGCTTGGGTTACTGAGTGCATTCTATAAAATCAGGCACTTCCAATTTTGTTTTCCGACAAGCATATTTTTTAAATAAATGCTATTTGTGTTCATGCATTGAAAGAGGAGGGGTGGAATGGGAAATTGCTCAAAGTTGAAAACAACTTTGCTCCCATTTACCTAGTAATACACTACGAGTAGTAATACAGTCTGTGTGTGTTACCTAGAAATTGAGTAATCAGCATTTCCTGCAAAATCTGCTGGTCCTCCTGCTTTCTCAACTTGTTCTGGAATTGCATTTCTCATTGTGCAAAGAAGTCCACTGACTGCATAAAACGATGCAGAGAACTATGTGAAGTCCTCCTGTAACTATCTTGAGTCTGTTTTCTCCTTAGGTAGCAAGAAGGCTTTCTTTAATAAAGCACCCAGAGTGCCACGGCATGGCTGGGGGGAAGGCAGTAGAGCACCTGGCTCAAACTGGAGACCGGCAAAGGTACACATTCAGACTTCCCATGCAGCAGTATCGTAACTGTGATTTTTCTTTTTCTGGACTTCAGAGCCTTGTCAACAAAGCCATTATTCAGAAAGAAAAAGAAGAAGGTATTTTTAAAGTCAGATACAAACCATGTACTTCATGAGCTATATTCAGAAAAGCCCATCTGATCATACATTTTTATAGGTATTCAAGAAGGTGAACTCCTATCTTGTGCTAAGGACATTGCTGCAGCTGTACAGCATGTAGTGGCTGCTCATATTATCCAGCGGACACACCGAGCCATGCTTTTCTGCATAAAAAATAGCATATTATTACCAAAAACTGCAACTCTGGTGGGTATAACCTTATTTTTGTATTATTTTGCATATTGCTTTTCACATTTAAATATGTCATTCAGGATGCAGATTTCCTTGTACTTTTTCCCCCATGACAGAACTAATCATACTGACAAATAACATAGATGTCATCATGTATTAAACTTAGCTAAAATACAAGGATTAAAGTAATATTAATTTCAGGTATTTATATGACATCTTTCATAGTTTGGTTTTAAGCTAGAAGGGTGTTTTCACACCAACTAACCTGACCTTTTCTAACTGCTCACGTCAGACAGTTTGATCTAGGGCAGCCCAGTACTTGATAGCTGTTCTATTTATAGCGTGCTTTCACTCAGGATTAAGTTTTTAGCCATAATACACTCACATTCTTTTCTGATAGGTTTCAGTCTTCAAAAATGGCTTTAGCTTGAAATATTCTTTTTATTGCAGTCTTCAAAACTTTGTCTGATATATTTGTTTTTTAGATAGGATGCTAATTTAGTTTGACCTATGAGGCCTTTCTTTTGAGTTAATATTTTTTTCTTTTTTTTTTTCCCCTACTTAAAACTGCTCTTAGGTCGTATCAGGAGGAGTTGCAAGTAATCAGTATATCAGAAAAGGCCTGCAAACTCTGGCAAATGCAAATGGTTTTGCTTTTCTGTCTCCTCCTCCAAGACTGTGCACTGATAATGGTGTTATGATTGCATGGTAAGGGTTGGGTTTTTTTTTTGTGTTTCTCTGAGATTCTTTAAAATCATCAGAATTGGGCATTTCTGTATATGGTGACTAAACCATATATTTATATACTCAGTTATGACACACTGATATGTAATTGCTTTCTTGCTTAGGAATGGTATTGAAAGGTTGCATGCAGGACATGGTGTTTTATATAGTACTGATGGCATCCGCTATGAACCAAAGTAAGTGACTCAGTTTATTCAGTCTTTTTCTTCATTAATTCACTGTACTCAGTGAAAGTGAAAGTACAGACTAGCAGAAAGCAATGAGGAATGTCTCTAGAGAACATATAAGCTTTGAAAGTTATTGATAACTACACAGAAAAGGAAGTGATAAAGTATATATCCTCTTCCAGTACTTGAGGGAAGCTTATTAATAGGAAAGCAGCTTTTTACATGATCTGTTAGCACTAGGATAAGGGGGAATAGCTTTAAACTAAAAGAGGTAAAATTTAGATTAGATATTAGGTGGAAGTTCTTTACTCAGACAGGTGGTGAGTCACTGGACTAGTTACCAGAGAGGCTGTGAATGCCCCATCTCTGAAGGTGTTCAAGGCCAGATTGGACTGGGCCCTGGGCAGCCTGATCTGGTGCTTGATTTAGTGGCTGGCAATCCTGC